GTCACAGCCCCAAGCCTGACTGAGCTCAAGGAGTGTGCTCTCAGGCACAGGGTGGGTTGTTGGGGTGTCCTGTGCAGGGCCTAGAGTTGTAATTTGGTGATCCTTGTGGGTCCTTCCAGCTCAGGAGATTCTGTTATCCCACAGTCCTGGTGACAGCTCTGTGTGGCTGCTCCTGGGGTTGAGGTGAGGGCACAGGGCTGAGATGACTGTCCTGAGGGGTGTAGGGCACCTGGGTCACCAAAATGCTTCAGGGGCTGGAGCAGCTCTGCCCTGGAGCCAGGCTGGGAGAGCTGGGGGTGTTCAACTGGAGAAGAGAAGGCTCCAGGGAGACCTTAGAGCTCCTTCCAGTGCCTAAAGGAGCTCCAAGAGAGCTGCAGAGGGACTTGGGACAAGGCATGGAGGGACAGGACAAGGGGGAATGGCCTTAAGATGATTTAGATTGGATATGAGGAAGGAATTGTTCCCTGTGAGGGTGGTGAGACACTGGCACAGGTTGCCCAGAGCAGCTGTGGCTGCCCCATCCCTGGGAGTATTCCAGGCCAGGTTGGATGGGGCTTGGAGCAATCTGGACTAGTGGAAGGTGCCCCTGCCCATGGAAGGGGTGGGACAGAATGATCTTTAAGATCCTTCCAAGCCAACCCAGTCTGGGATCATGAGGATCTTGATAACACAGTGAGGCACCATGTCCTGCAGTGGACAGGAGTCAGGCCATGACAGACTGAAGGCTTTCAAGCAATGAAGCTGCTGCAGCTCTGAAGGAGTTTCCATGGTTTCTGGAGCAGATTTCAATGATGAAACCTCTCAGTAACCCAATCCTTATCTGCAGCTGCCCTACCATGGAGGAAGTTGGTGGCTGCTCTAACTGAATTTACCAGTTGAAGTTTCCTAAGTGAGTTGGTGAAGATCTTTTGTAAGAAACTGTCGCTGCTTTTATCAGTTCAGGTGATGAAGTGAAGAAGAAAACCCTTAGGGAGAAAAAGGAAGAGAAGAGAGAAGCAGCTGGAACATTCTGGAGTCTGCCCAGAGCCCAGGCCATGTGTGAATCTGGTCCCTGCCTGACTCCTTCACTCCTGGTGCTTCCATCCTCAGCTGAGCCACCAGAAGGAGTTGTTATCTCTGCCTCCTGGTGAATGTTGCTGTGATAGACACAGAGCCATGTCACCAACCTCTCACTTCCACTGTTCCTGAAGCCCTTGGGGAGCAATTCTTGCTGGGGGCAGTTTGTAGTGATGTTTCTCAGGGGTTGGGTTGGGACTGGTGTGTTTAACATCTCTGTGGATGCCATGGACAGTGGGATTGAGCACACCCTCAGCAGATGTCCCAGGGACACTGAGCTGTGTGGGGCAGTCACATGCTGGAGGGAAGGGATAGGGAATCCAGAGGGACCTGGATAGGCTGGAGAGGTGAGGTTGGGTGAACCTCATGAGGCTCCACAAGGCCAAGCACAGGTCCTGCATGTGAGTCAGGGCAATCCCAAGAACAAATCCAGACTGGGAAGAGAATGGCTGGAGAACAGCCCTGGGGAGAAGGACTTGGGGGTGTTGGTGGATGAGAAACTCAATATAGATTCATAGAATGGCCTGGGTTGGGAGGAACCTTAAAGATCATCCAGTTCCACCCCCCCTGCCATGGACATGTCCTGGCCATGTGCACTGGGAGCCCAGAAACCCTCTGTGTGCTGAGCTCATTCCCAGTGTGGGTAGCAAGTGAGGGAGAGATTCTGCTCCTCTGCTTTGCTCAGGTGAGACCTCACCTGCAGTGCTGCCTTCAGCTCTGAGGTCTTCAGCATCAGAGGGATGTGGAGCTGCTGCAGCAGGTCCAGAGGAGGTCACAGAGATGCTCTGAGGGCTGGAGCACCTCTGCTCTGTAGACAAGCTGGGAGAGCTGAGGTTGATCAGCCTGGAGGAGAGAAGGCTCCAGGGAGACCTTACAACCCCTTTCAGTGCCTAAAGGGGCTCCAAGAGAGATGGAGAGGGACTTGGGACAAGGCATGGAGGAACAGGACAAGGGGAATGGCTTCCCACTGCCAGAGGGCAGGGCTAGATGGGGCATTGGGAAGGAATTGTTCCCTGTGAGGGTGCTGAGGCACTGGCACAGGTTGCCCAGAGCAGCTGTGGCTGCTCCATCCCTGGGAGTGTTCCAGGCCAGGTTGGATGGGGCTTGGAGCAACCTGGGCTAGTGGAAGGTGTCCCTGCCCATGGTGAGGTGCTGGAACTGAATGATCTTTAAGGACCTTTCCAACCCAACCCATTCTGGAATTCTCCGAATTAAGCTCCTGACACTCAGTTATCAGCACAAGTATGCTCTGTCTCAGTGGCCTTTGGAAAATCCTCATCCTCCAACTGGTGATGGTGCCACACAGTGGCTTTGAAACCCTCCAGCTCTGCCCCTTTGCACAAGAGCAGTGCTGTGGTCACCATTGTGCAAACTACTGCTGCTGCCAGCTAAGGCAGATACTGTCTCAGGAACAATGGGTGAGGTAGGGACACCTCCTGAGCCTCTTGGGTCACCTTGAAGGCCAGGGGAGGTTGCTCAGGGTCTGTCATCCGAGGATGCAGGTCCCTCCTCTGTTCTGGGCTCTGTCCCAGCACTGCACCACTTCATGGGTGGTTTTCTTAAGTCTAATGGGAGTTTTCTCTGCAGCACCTCATGCCATTGTGTCGTCCCATCTCTGTGCACTTCTGCACAGCCCCTGGCTGTGCCCTGCAGCTCTCCCATGAGACAAAGTCAATAGTGAGGCTTCCCAGAGCCCTCTCCCCTCCAGGCTGACCAAACCCTGTGTCCTGAGCTCTAGGTGCATTCCCTCCAGCTTCTCCAAATCAGTCTTAGCTTAGGGGGCTGGACCTGTGCTCCAAGACCAACCTCACCTGTGACTCCCTGCAAGGTCTGCAGTTTGCTTTGGTGATTTTCTTAGAAGCATTGAAGGACCTGGAGCAGTGCCCGTGCAGCTCTACCTGCAAGGAGCCCAGACTGGGGGACAGGGATGGTGGTGCCCAGTTTTGGGGACAGGGACAGTGTGATCCAGCTTGGGGGACAGGGATGGTGATGCCCAGCTTCTGGGATGGGGATGGTGGGGTCCAGTTTGGAGGACAGGGATGGTAAGACCCAGTTTGAGGAACAGGGATGGTGGGGCCCAGTTTTGGGGAGCAGAGATGGTGGTGCCCAGCTTCTGGGATGGGGATGGTGGAGCCCAGTTTTGGGGGCAGGGACAGTGTGACCCAGCTTGGGGGGCAGGGAAGGTGGAGCCCAACTTGGGGGACAGGGTTGGTGTGGCCCAGCTTTGGGCCACACATCCAAGAACCCCCAGGGGAACCTCAGCAGGGACTCAGGTGCTCCCAGTCTGTGCTGCTGATCCAAGGAGTTTTTGTTCTGGAAGGACAATTGCAATGTGAAGTGAGTTAGGAGGAGCTGAGGAGCAGCACTGATGAGCATCTCCTCTGCTTCCCTGGACATCAGCATGTTCAAACACATCATTCACCTGATCCAGCAGCATTCCCCTGCCCTGCCTTATTGGCATGACTGTGACATGGGAAAGATTCATCCATCAGGTACATTTGCACTTTGGACAGGCAGAGGAGCTTTGGCCAAGGGAGGAGGAGATGCTTGGCCTGATGAGCTCCCAGCACAACATCTGGGCACAGGCAAAACTCTGCCTGGACTGCCCTGTGCTCCAGCCCAGCAGCTGGAGGTTGGTGATACCTGTTCAAACCATTACCCAGGTGCCTCCTCCTGCTGCAGGGAAGTGCACAAGGAGCAGCGTTTGTGGATCCCTCCAGACCCCACCAGACCCACGACAGAGCATTTTGGAGGTGAGATGGGGAGTGCCAGTACCCTTGAGATCTGGTGCCTCCATAGGTAAGTATGAAGACATTTTTTTCACCTTTAAGAGCAGCAAAGGATGAAGACAACCATGGGGGAAGAAGCCCGTAAGACACCCCAGAAGGACTCAAGACTCTCAAACCACAGCAAAGTGCAGCCTTACACCTCTCCCTGCAAAGACACTGGCGAATCAGGCTGTGCATCCAGTTGGGTGCAAAGAAGCCTTCCTGCCAGGGTGCTGGGGCCAGAGGTGGGTGCTGTGCTGCCTTGGCCTCACACTGTGGGGGAGTTCCAAGCCCTGTGGGTCAGATAACACCCACAGCAGATAAGGCCTGTGGCAGATAAAAGCTCGGGAGAGGAGAGACTGTGGGGAGGGAGAAGAGCAGGAGGGAGGAGAGCAGCACATTGCAGGTGAGAGCCAGGCCCAGGGCACACTCTTGCTATCGTGGAGGGCTTGTTTCTGGGTTGTGGGTGGAGGTTTGGGGGGCTGGGGCTGAATTTGAAGCACCCAGCTGAGGTCTGTGTTCCCTCTGCTTGTGTAGTGGCTCCAGGGCTGGCAGAGCCACTCTGCCTGGCACTGAGCACAGCAAGGATGTGTCTGGACCACCTTGGTGCTGTCACCAGAGGCTTCTCCTCAGGCAAGGGGTTTGGTTTGGCATTTTAAGGTGGATTCTGGGCTACCTTTGAGGTAGGTCCACAGTGGATGCCAAGCAATGTGCAATAGGCTCAGCCCCAGCTCTGGGCTCATTCTGGTAGAGCTGATTGCTTTGGAGCAGCCTTCAGAGGTGAGTGGGCAAACCATCCCAAATGTGTGTGTGCTGAGGACCTGCCATGCTGCCCTGGCTGCTCCTTCTTCCCTTCCAGCCCCATGCACCAGCTCTCCCTGCACGTGTTCCTGCCCTGCCCCCTGGCAAGCAGTACTGGCAGGGTCTTCTGCTCCCTTTTGTTGCCTCCAAGTCCGAAACAGCATGTTCCCACCAGTGCTGGGTGTCCCTGGGGCAGGAGGCAGTTCCCTATCCATGTGACACTGAAAGGACCATCAGGCAGCAATGCATCAGGAAGGGGATGCCCCATGAGCTCTCTTGACCTGTGCCATCCTTAGCATGGACATGAACCTCCCCAATGCACTTCAGGATCCACAGGTCCTTGGTCTTCTTCACTTCTTGCATTCCTTTGCAGAGATGAAGGCAGAAACCTTCCTGGAGTCACTGGTGATCCTCAGCCTGTTCCAGGCACCTGTATCCTCTTCCTATGGTATGGTCCTTCCCTCAGGCTTTGAGATCAGGGGATTTTCAGAGTGGGAAGGATCAAGTTAAGACTGGAAGAGGCTGTATTACTCCACTGTAAGCAGCACAGCCTTGACGAGGTGTCAGAGGGATCGCAGCCAGTTTGTACCTCCTGTGGCACCAATCCTGGTTGTTTCAGGTTTTTCCCAGTTAATGTCCTACCTGGTTTCTTAAAACCAGGTTAAAGGAGGTCAGTTCTCAGCACTGCTCCATCCCCATGGTATGAGGGTCTCCCTCCCTGCTCCCTGGGCCAGGAGGTGAGCACAGCAGCTCCTGTGAGAGCTGCCAGGGTCTAGTTTCATAGTGTACCTCCTGTGGCACCAATCCTGGTTGTTTCAGGTTTTTCCCAGTTAATGTCCTACCTGGTTTCTTAAAACCAGGTTAAAGGAGGTCAGTTCTCAGCACTGCTCCATCCCCATGGTATGAGGGTCTCCCTCCCTGCTCCCTGGGCCAGGAGGTGAGCACAGCAGCTCCTGTGAGAGCTGCCAGGGTCTAGTTTCATAGCATAAGGGGTTGGAATGGAGCTTAGAGATGATCTAGTCCCCCTGCCTCGATCTGGGCAGGGACACCTCTCACCAGACCAGGATACTCACAGCTTTATCCAACCTGGCTTTGAACACTGCCAGGGTGGGCAACCTGTGCCAGTGTCTTACTTATATGCAGAGCTCTAGAGAGTGAGCAGCAATTCCCTGCAGCTGTGCCCAATCCCTGGGTACTGGAGGCACAAGAGCTCTGGTGCAGATCAGGGATGCTCCTGAGTGGGTGACAGCACTCTCACCTCTTCTCTTCCCTTCCTCTTGCCCAGATGTGCCTGTGGAGATATCAGACACATCCCTGCTGAGCAGTGTGGCCGAGGCCAAGCAGCTGGTGGATGCAGCCTACAAGCGCACGAGGGACCGGTGAGATTTGTGTTTGGGCTGTGGCACATCTGTGTTCCACCTTCACTGCAGCTTCACCTGCTTCTCCTCCTTCCTGCAGCACAGGGACAGGGCTGTGAGGAACCCCATGAGCACAGCAGGCTGTAATCCAGCTCACCTGGTTCTACAGCATGTCTCCAGCCTGTTAGGTCACCAAGAGCTGTGACTCTGTCCTCCTCCAAGCTGTTCCACCTCAATCATCAGAGAATCCCAGAATGGTTTGGGTTGGAAGAACCTTAACGATCAAATCATTCCACCTCTGCCATGGGCAGGGACACCTTCCACTAGCCCAGATTGCTCCAAGCCCCATCCAACCTGACCTGGAACACTTCCAGGGATGGAGCAGCCACAGCTTCTCTGGGCAACCTGTGCCAGTGTCTCATAACTCTCACAGGGAAGAATTCCTTCCCAATATCCCATCTACCCGTGCCCTCTGGCAGTGGGAAGCCAATCCCTGTGTCCTGTTCCTCCAGGCCCTTGCCCCACCTCTCTCTCTCCATCTCTCTTGGAGCCCCTTTAGGCACTGGAAGGGACTCTAAAGTCTCCCCAGAGCTTTCTCTTCTCCAGCCTGTCCTGGAACACTTCCAGGGATGGAGAAGTCACAGCTTCTCTGGGCAACCTGTGCAAGTCACAGCAACACCCCATGGTATTCCTGAGCTCTCTTCCACCCTTCAGGGGTGCTCTGAGGAGGAGCTCTGAGGTGGAGAGGGCACAGGGTTCTGTTGATTTTGAGTAATTCCCTCCAATGGATGCAGCAAACTGCTGTAGGCTGCAGTGAGGACATTGTGTGGGACTCCAACCATGGTTTGGGAGTGCACAGCTTCCTACCAGCCCATACCTATGCTCCTCCAGCATTCATGCTCCGAAAGCCTTGCTGGCTCACCTCCAGCTGAGAGGAGGTTCTAGCAGCATTAAGACATGGTGACCTGGAGGCATTTGGGACCTCTGGATGGAGACCGAAACCTGCAGATATTGGTAATCTGAGTAACAGTTGAGGTTTGGCTGCCCCAAAGATGTAAAGACCTATTTGTCTCCAGGCAGGTGGAGTTGGCAATTTAAGAAATTCCCTTCCTGCAGCTCCCTCTGCTCCTCTGCTGAAGCTGGTGGGAGCAGCCCTGGGCTCTTCCAGCTGCCATGCAGGCATCACATGGAGGAGCACACTGGGAGAGCTGAGATGTGTAACCTGCAGAACTCTTAGCCTTGCCCCAGCTCAGATTTTGTCTCCTTCTCTCATGCAGTGTAAAGCAGCACCTGCAGAATGATGCTTTGACCCCAGCAGAGCTTCTGAGATACTTCAAGCAGCCAGTGGAGGGGACTCGGGTTGCTGTCCGGGCAGCAGATTACATGCAGACCACCCTAAGCCTCCTCAAGGAGAAGCTGAGATGGGCTGTGAGGGGAGAATTCAACGTCACAGGTAGAGATCTCCCTCATCTCCCTTTGCTGGGAGGAATGAACACATAGGACCTGGTCACTGGGGCTTGGGAGGAGGGAAGGAAAGGGAGTTGTGATGGGCCATGACTCCAATTCTTCCCATGTGGCTGCAGCGAGGCAAAGCTCAGTTATTTTTCTGTATTCTCTTTCCATCTTCACACATTATTTGGGGCTTTATCAGTTAATGAAAGTGGTTTGGGCATCTTCTGCTGTATAGAGGTTCATGTACCAGTGGGGCCAAACTTGTAAGACTTTGGTAGATCTTCTGCTGGAGAAGGGAATGAACAAAACCAGAGATGTGACTCAGTAGCTCAACCCCAAGGTAAGGAGCTCTTCTGCCAGGCTTCAGCTAGCACCAAACTCACCACCAGATTCTCCTGCACCAGGGCAGGACACTGTGAGAAAGGTCCAGATAACAGGGAGGTGTGAAAGGACATTTCAGTGTGTGTCTGAAGGAGCAATGTCCTCCCTGAGGTGGATTCCTGCAGCCAGGCCAAGCTGCTGAGAGCAGGAGGCACATTAGGGGTAGTAAGAGAAACAGTTCAGGGAGGCACAGGGAAGGTTCCTGATGTATAAAGGTGGACTCGTGGGGATCATGGAATGGTTTGGGTTGGGAGAGACCTTAAAGCTCATCTCACTGAGAGGAGAAATTCCAGCAGCAAAGTCCTATAGAATCCCGAAATGGTTTGGGCTGGAAGGAACCTTAAAGCTTGAGAAACAGTTCAGGGAGGCACAGGGAAGGTTCCTGATGTATAAAGGTGGACTCGTGGGGATCATGGAATGGTTTGGGTTGGGAGAGACCTTAAAGCTCATCTCACTGAGAGGAGAAATTCCAGCAGCAAAGTCCTATAGAATCACGAAATGGGCTGGAATGGAAGGAACCTTAAAGCTTGTCTAGTCCCACCCCCTGCCATGGGCAGGGACACCTGCCACAAGTCCAGGTTGCTCCAAGCCCCATCCAACCTGGCCTTGAGCACTTGCCCAGCATGACAGTAAAGCACTGGCAGGCCAAGACACATCATGGGATGCTCCAGCATCACTCCAGGATGGGGTGAGCTGCAAGAGGATGAAGTGCTCAGCTCCAGCCCCTTCATCCAGGAGTGCTGCTCCAGCACAGCCCCACAGCCTTGCCAGGCCACCTGGCTGTCACCTCATCCCTCTGCACAGTGGCTGCTCGAACCATGCTGTGACACAGACTCTTGGTGGCAGCAGTGACCAGCAAACCTCCGAGGGACTTGGGATGTGCTGTGCTAGCAGATAGCCAAGGAGGAGCAACTCTGTCACGGAGCCAGGCTGGGAGAGCTGGGGGTGTTCAGCCTGTAGGAGAGAAGTATCCAGGGAGACCTTAGAGCCCCTTCCAGTGCCTAAAGGGGTTTATAGAAAGGAGGGAGAGCGACATTTACACAGGCAGATAGTGGCAGGATAAGGGAGAATGGTCTTCAACTAAAAGAGAAGAGATTTGGGTTTGGATATTGGGAAGGAATTGTTCCCTGTGAGGGTGCTGAGACACTGGCACAGGTTGCCCAGAGAAGCTGTGGCTGCTCCATCCCTGGGAGTGTTCCAGGCCAGGTTGGATGGGGCTTGGAACAACCTGGGCTAGTGGAAGGTGTCCCTGCTCATGGCAGGGGGTGGGATGAGAGGCTTTAAGGTTCTTTCCACCCCAAATCAGTTTGTGATTCTACAGGGCTTTGTTGATTGAACTAGGTTACTTACCTCCCCTGCAAGGGGAAATCTACATAGTGGAAACACAAAGCCAATGTCCCCAGGTGAGCCCAACCACTGGATGGTTCTCCTCCAGGCAGCTCTGAGCTATGGTGACACACACTGGTGGCTGCTTCCAGGGGGAAAAACTTGTAAAACTGCTCTAGGATGGCTGTAGGTGTTTGCATTTATGGTGAAGGTCAAAAGGGAGCAGAGAGGATGGAAAAGGATTGCTAATGCTAGAAAACCATTCTGCTCCTAGTGTGTAATTAGAGATTTGAGCACAGCTTTGCTGGGTTTGAGGCTTTCCAAAGCAGAAAAAGCAATGCTCAAAGAGCATCTCCAGAAGGTCTTTGAGCAGGAAGACCTGAAATGACAGAGCACTGTGGTCATACAGAGATGCTGTGATATGAAATTGTTTCAAGGGTACAAGAAGGAGAAGCTTTTCCTGAGCCTGGGATGCACTGCACACCCAGCAGGGCCAGTGTGTCCCTGGCTGCTTATTCTCCTCTGTTCCTGGCAGACTTGCTGACTCCAGCTCAGGTGGGGATGATTTTCAAGGCCAGTGGATGTGACCAGCAGGAGAAGAAAATAAAGTGTGGTTGTTCCTGCTACAGAACCATCACTGGGGAGTGCAACAACAGGTGAGGGGCTGAGTATGCAGAAGGGTGGATGGATGGTGACAGGACAAAAGGAAATGGCCTCAAGCTACACCAGGAGAGGTTCATGTTGGACATCTGAAAGAATTTCTTCCCTAAAACGGTTGTCAGGCTTTGGTATGTGCTGCCCAGGGAGGTGGGGGAGTCACTATCCCTGGGGGTGTTCAAGGAATGACTGGGCATGGCACGCAGTGCTCTGGTCTAGCTGACAAAGTGGTGATGGTTCACAGGTTGTACTTGATCTTTTCCAGCCTCAATGATTCTATGGATGGATGGATCCTCCATCAGTAGAACTAGACCCATTTCTCCAGGGGTGATCCATGTAGGCACCTTCTTTTAGAGTTTTACACCCCACAGTGGTGTTTCCTAGATGTGTGGAGCTTTAATTACAGCCTTGCTTGGAGAGTTCTTGGTGTTGCACAAGAACCAGCTCCTTTGTGTGGTCCCACTCCAAGGTCCTGTCTCTCTCCACATCCACAAGCTCTTAGTCCTGCCATAATCCTAATGAGTCTAATTGTTTGCTGTCCTTCTATTCATTGCAACAGGAGGAACCCAACCTTAGGAGCCTCCAACAGAGCCCTGGTCAGGTGGCTGCCAGCAGAATATGAGGATGGAGTGTCTGTGCCTCGTGGATGGACAGAAGGAAGACGTTTCTCTGGGTTCCCTTTGCCACTGGTAATGCTTTTAACAGTCACCTGAAAGTGCAGAGTCAGGGTCTAGGGATTGTCAGTCCTTGGACAGCTCACAGGCATCAAATGGAGGTAATTCTGCCCCTCTGCTCTATGCTGTTGAGACCTCACCTGCAGTGCTGTCTCCAGCTCTGGGACTAGCACAGGCAGGACATGGAGCTTTTGGAGCAAGAACAGAGGAAACACCAAGATGATTAGAGGGCTGGAGCAGCTCTGCTGTGAGAAAGGCTGAGAGAATTGGGATTGTTCAGCCTGGAGAAGAGAAACTTCGAGGTGACATAACTGTGGCCTTGCAGTGCCTGAAGGAGCTACAGGAAAGATGGAGAGAGACTATTAACAAGGGCCCGGAGGGACAGGACAAGGGGGAATGGATTCACACTGCCAGAGAGTGGATTTAGATTGGATATTTGGTGATCTGCATGTGGCTCTCATGACACCTGGTTGGGAGCAGGGACACTGCCATGTGGCTTCTGGTCACTTGGCTTTGATGCAACAATGAGAAGCTCAGTGATTTGTGCCTGGTGTTCAGATTTTCATTGTACTTCCTAACCCTCTACACAGCACAGTGTCCACTTTTTGTGGCAATACATGAAGGAAGAACTGGTGAGGGAATTGTGACGGGTGGGGAAGGGATAAGAAGGGAAAAGAGCTTTGGGACAATGTGCGGAAATTCCCAAAGACTATTTTTATCCACAATTCTATTTCAAAACGGTCCTTCAAATTTTTATACCTCCCCTTCCTAGCCTTGCTTAGTTGCTTCCTTATGGCCATGAAGGGATAGATTTGGCCTAGAGGCTCAGACCTCTGGCTAGAGCCTGAACAGTGCTGTGCTTAGCAAAGGGGAGCTCAGTGACACCTCCAGACAGAGATTTGGGGTTGTTTTTTCCTCCAAAGCATAAGAAATGCCTTGTGACTATTAGCTGATGACCCCATGACACATCGTTTCCCACTACACAAGTTCTGCCTTCATCCTTGCAGGTTCGACAAGTGTCAAACGAGATCGTTCGCTTCCCCACAGAGCAGCTCCAGCTGGACCAGCAGAGATCACTCATGTTCATGCAGTGGGGACAGTTCATTGACCATGACCTGGATTTCAGCCCAGAAACACCAGTCATATTCCCCTTTACTGGGGGGCCAGACTGTGACACCAGCTGTGCCAAGAAACCTCCCTGCTTTCCCATCCAGGTACAGTCAACCGCCTTCTTACAGGGAACAGAGGGAGAGGGCATCTGCCTTCCAACCAGGACTTGGTGGTGGCTCTCCTGGTCCTTGGCCATGGAGGAGCATCCTCCCAGAGCAGGCCAAGGGGGTCAGAGGACATTTTGAGCAGTGGCTTGGGGCTGTTGCCCCTTTTGCAGGTATTTATCCATCTCGCTCAGCCATGTGAGACCTCAGAGCAACCTGCCAGGGTCTGAAGGGGCTCCAGGGAAGCTGTAAAGGGACTCTGGGTTAGGAGCTGCAGGAACAAGACATGGAGTAATGGGGAGAAATTGAAAGAGGGAAAGTTAGATTAGATATTAGGAAGTTTTCCCTGTGAGGGTGGTGAGACACTGGCACAGGTTGCCCAGGGAGGCTGTGGCTGCCCCAACCCTGGCAGTGTTCAAAGTCAGGTTGGCTAAAGCCTTGAGCAACCTGCTCTGGTGGGAGGTGTCCCTGCCCAGGGCAGGGGGTTGGCACTGGATGATCTCTAAGCTTCATTCCAACCCCTTAACATAGTCTGATTCTATCATATCAGGATTTATGAGTGATCATAATCTATGTGAGATGCCTCCTGCCTAGTTCGTCTCATGGATCATATCATAGAATCATGCAGGGTTGGGGCAGCCACAGCCTCCCTGGGCAACCTGTGCCAGTGTCTCACCAAAACATCACAGCACAGCTCCTGCCCCTCTCAACCACTGATGAATTGTCCTGTTCCCTCCCTGCAGATCCCAGCCAATGACCCCCGAATCCGCAACAGGAGGGATTGTCTTCCCTTCTTCCGCTCTGCTCCTACCTGTACTCAGGGCAGAGCCATCCGGGACCAGATCAATGCTCTCACCTCCTACCTGGATGGCAGTGTGGTCTATGGCAGCGAAGTGGCCTTGGCCAACAGGCTGAGGGACAGGAGCCGCCAGCTGGGCCTGTTGGCTGTCAACCACAAGTTCACAGACAGGGGCAAGGCATACATGCCCTTTGGGCCCATAAGGAAAGAGCCCTGTCTCAAGGCCAGTGGGGCAGCTCGGATCCCTTGCTTTATGGCAGGTAAGGTGGGTGCTGCCATCCCAACCCTGAAATCCAGAGTGTACAGCTCCACTGGGCATTTCTTGAATTGGTTGGTTTCTTATTGAAGTAGAAGATGAAGCAGAGCGAATCATGAAAGACTAAGGCTATGCTAGGTAGGAGAAGGTTTTCACTATCTCCAAGTCTTCTTTGTGATGATAAGCCTGGAGTGAAGTTGTCCCATCTGTGCTCAGCAGCTCCAGTGTCGGAATCAGAGGTGACCTGTCTGCATCCACAGGAGTGTGGCAGCAGGTCCGAGGAGGTGATTCTCTCCCTCTGCTCTGCTCTACTGAGACCCACCTGGAGTTCTGCACACAGCTCTGGTGTCACCAACAGAAAAAGGACATGGAACAGTTGGAGCAAGGCCAGAGGAGGCCACAAAGCTGCTCAGAGCACTGGAGCACCTTCCCTATGAGGACAGGCTGAGAGAGTTGGGGCTGTTCAGCCTGGAGAAGTGAAGGTTGTGTGGAGACCTCAGAGCAACCTGCCAGGAGCTGAAGGGACTCCAGGGAAGCTGCAGAGGGACTCTGGGTTAGGAACTGCAGGGACAGGACAAGGGGCAATGGGAAGAAATTGAAGGAGGGGAAATTCAAGTCAGATATTAGGCAGAAGATTTTTCTGTGGGGGTGGTGAGACACTGGCACAGGTTGCCCAGGGAGGCTGTGTCTGCCCCAGCCCTGGCAGTGTTCACAGCCAGGTTAGCTAAAGCCTTGAGCAACCTGCTCTGGTGTGAGGTGTCCCTGCCCAGGGCAGAGGGTTGAGGCTAAATCATCTCAAAGCTCCATTCCAACCCCTTAACATACTATGAACCAGTGCCATGGTGGAGCTGAGCAGACACAGCTGTGGCAGCCTGGCCTAAAGACAATGGTTTCTCCATACTTATCATTCCAAGGATATCTCTATTCCACCAGGATGGGTACAGGTGTGTAGGTGCTGGGCTGGGTCACCTCCAGAAAGCATTTGCATGTGCTCCAGCATATCAGTGTGCCTATTGCACTGTGAGAGGAGCTTAGATCACAGCTGGACTCAGAATGAGGCCAACCCCAGACCACGATGACCTTAGAAGATGTGTTCCCACCACAAGGCTAGAGGTGCACTGGCAGCACAGTCCCTCAGGACAGTTTTCTGTTACATTTACCCTTTGTCATGCTTTTGATATCTTCTTGACCACTTCTTCAACCCAAAAGAATTCCTTTGGTCCTGGGCACAGCCCACCCCCCCAGCCAAACAGCCTTGGCCCTCTGTATATCTGACCCAAGCTCCTCTGGACAACACCCTCATGGTCCTTGGATACCACCAGGACATGGTGGTAGGACTGATGGTAAAGCTCTGCTTGATGCTACCTTCCATCTCCCTCCTTTAAAGCTCTTGGTGTTTCCTGCTCCCTTCACAGCCTCTCACACTTCTCTGTCCCATCTGTTGGTCCATGTCTTCACCTGCTCCTCCAGTTTCATGCAGGTCTCTTCTTGGTGAGGACCACATAGGATCTGTGGCCAAAGGCAGATACCCAGTGAGGAGCAGAGCAGGCAGGTGTATCAGATGCTTCCCAGGAGCAGTTCCTGTTCCATAGCTAGAACACATCACACATTTATAGTGCTCAGTCCAGGCAGGCTTGGAAGAGCCTTTGAAAATTCACTGTCTTATTTGAGACCTTTCCGGTCCCTGAGAACTGGAGGAATTTTACATGTGCCCTTGCTTAACAGGGCTCAGCATTTCCTCCTGGAGCTGTGTTGGAAGCCCTGGCTGGATGCATTCTGCTCATGGAAACCTCACAGAGCTGCCATTGTCTGTCCTTCCGCAGTGGCTCACAGGGAGCCTTTGAGAGGGGCTGAAAAGGGCTCTGTACTGAGGGCAGAGCAAATCCCTCTATTTACTATGGGACAAGGGCACTAAATACCACATATTTACTTTGCTCTGAGTGCTTCTGTATGCTCTTCTCACCTGCTTGCTCTGGGGTTTCCTGCCCCAGCTGTTTGAAAAAGGATTTGGTGTTTCATTGTGCTGCTGTTTGTGATTCAGCCTTTCAAGTCGTGACTCACTTTGCTTTTACTTTTACTCCCCAGAGAGCTGCTTTGTGACTGGCATCTTGCTTTGGCTGCAGTTTCAGCTGGTTTGAAGGAGAACTTCTGACTTGCAGAGCTCCCTTGGCTATGTGGCTTCCCACTGTCCATTTCCATTTATCTTTTGAGGTGTGAAACCAAATATCTCTGTGATAGTGGAGCTTGGAGAACACCTACATTTAGCTTCTTAGAGTCCTAGAATTTAGGGGATGGAATGGACCTTACAGATCATCTAGTCCCAACCTCCTGCCATGGGCAGGGACAGCTCCTCACTAGATAAGGTTGTTCAAGGCCTCATCCAGCTTGACCTTGAACACTGCCAGGCTTGAGGCACCCACTGTCTCCCTGGGCAACGTTTCATCCAGCTTGACCTTGAACACTGCCAGCTTTGAGGCACCCACTGCCTCCCTGGACAACATCTTTCAATGTCTCACCACCCTTACAGTAAAAACTCTTTTGTAGTATCTAACCTTAACTTAATGCTCCTAATCCTTAATAGAAGCAAACCTTCCTCATCTCTCTGTAATGCTGAGTTTGCAGGAATTTGGTTTTTCCCTGGTGCTGTCCAACCCTTGGGGCTCAGATTTTAGTTTCCTTCTCCTCTGTGTTTCTTAGCCATCACAACACAGATATCAAGACATCTAGATCTTTCTCTGTGCTGCTTCCCAGTGGGTCATTCCCATTGCAACCAGGGACACTGCAGTGTGATCCTGCTGACCTGGGAAACAGCCAGGGGCACTGCAGTGTGATCCTGCTGACCTGGGACACTCATAGGTGACACTCGGGCGAGCGAGATGCTGGAGCTGGCCTGCATGCACACCCTCTTTGTGAGGGAGCACAACCGCCTGGCTGTCAGCCTGAAGAGGCTCAATCCCCACTGGAATGATGAGAAGCTCTACCAGGAGGCACGAAAGATCCTTGGAGCTATGATCCAGGTATGAATCACCAGCTCCTTTTGCCCTGACTCTGCCTGCAGCCTCACAGAATCCACGTGGTAGGATGTAGGATCAGCCTCTTTCAACCAAAGCGAAATCACATGGAGATACCTGAAATAACAGGCACAGAAAGGTCCCCCTGAGTCTTTGTTGTCTCTCTACTGTTACATTTACAAATAGCTGCACATTTGTGTTTGAGAGACAGAAAAGCCAGAGGAGAAGTTTTTCTAAGCAGCGTTTGGTACCTGATAAAAATGGTACTGGAAATTTGGATTAGAATTCCTCTGGGTTGTGTCTCCTTCTCTCAATGTTTCCTTGCCCATAGCAGGGGGTGAAACAAGATGAGTTTTCAGGTCCCTTCCAACCCAAACCATTCTGGGGTTGTATGAAGAAGCTCCATGTGCTGGTGGGTGCAGCCAACCATGGTGTTCTTCTGTCCTCACTGCTCTAGGGCTAAGACCCCCCTTGGGACTGTGATGCATCCCAAAGTTCAGTCTGAACAAGATCCTAGGGTCATAGAAGTATTTCTGTGCTTGGAATGGACCTCTCAAGGTCCCTTGTCCAGCTTCCAGTTTGGACCAGCATCAAAGGCAGAAGAGGTTTCACAACCAACAGAAAAGGTTGACTCCTATGAGAGGAGGAGACATGAGGCTTCCAAAGGTAGTGCTTAGACCTAATTGGAAACTTCTCTTCTAAGCTGGCGTAACAAACTGAAAAAAGCAGGAATATCAAAAATGGTTTAGCTTTTAAAACTGTCAATTTCAATACTATATCATCATTGAATAAACTTGTTGGGTAAGGCCACGTGGAGAGACTCAAAGGATTGTCCTGGAGGTATCACGTTTAGATCAATGGTTTCATCTTCTTGCAGTTTCCAGACAATTAAGCCATTTTCTCCTACTGACACAGAATTTATCTATTTATTTTAACTGTGTTGTGTCTCCTCCTCAATGTCCCAGAAAGACATAGGGCAGGTTTGGCAATCTCTGCTGTGGGAGGACTCCCAGAGCTTCGTGGGTGGTGTCATCACCTATGCCAACACTGATAAGCTTATCTTTCTCATCTGAGACACATAGGGTGCAGTTCTACCTGGCTCATGGGAATAGTGCCTACCTAAAGGCCAAGGAGACAATATTTGGGAAGATTTGGCAAGCTTTCAGCATGCTCTGACCTGCCAAAGTGTTGAGGCAGAGAGGAGCATGTCTGGGGACACCTGAGTGCCCAGTGCTCAGCACCAAGGGGCAGAGGATCCCAGTCAGAGGGATATGTGGATCAGGCACAAGTAGTGTGTGAGCTGCCTGATGCCCTGACACAGTGGTATCCCCTTTGGACTCTCATGCAGGTCACTACATGCTCATGCAAAGCTCATCACTCCTAGAGAGTGTAGCGATCCACCAGGAGAAACCAGAAGTGACCTGTGTCTGTGCCCAGAGCTGCACCACCTGTGTCGTAGTGGCACAGAAAAGGCTTTGAACCAAGGCCACAAAGCTGAAGGCATAAAAATGTCCCTCCACAGTGGCAGAGAAGGTCCTCACTGGACTGTCAGAGCAGCTGGGTGAGGTGAAAGGAAGGTTTGCCCTGGGGAACTTCATCTGTTCCTCCATCAATCCCTTGTGGCAGCTCTTGAGCCACAGGAACTTTGCTTCCAAAGAAACTGCTGGCCAAGACATTCATGCTCTCCTTGTTTCCCTCTAGATCATAACCTACAGGGACTACCTGCCTCTCCTGCTGGGCTGCAGGTTCCAGAGCTTGATCCCTCGTTACCGAGGCTACAACGAGTCTGTGGATCCTCGAATATCCAACGTCTTCACCTTGGCCTTTCGCTTCGCCCACGCCGCAATTCCCCCGACTGTTGGGCGCTTGAATGAGAATTACAAGCCCATAAGACCTGAAATTCCACTTGGAACCTCCTTCTTTGCTGTCTGGAGGATCATTCAAGAAGGTAAAGCCATTCTTGGAGCTATACAGTGGGAGCTGGTTTCATTTTCTGCCCTCTTGGGATGAGCTTCTGCTTCAGCTGAATTTCAAGCATTCAATGTGTTAAATGCCCTTTGCTATCAGGCAGTTTTCCCAGCAGAGCTGCTCTCTGCAGTCCATCATGTTAGGAAGCACATGGTCTAATCACTTCATTCCTGTAGCCTCCAGAACCTCATTCAAAGTATTTTCTTTCGAATTCTTTTAGACAAGGAAAAATGATCCTCATGTGGTAGAACCTCATCATTAAATATCAACCTCTTAGACACACACACTGACGTCCCTGCCTGATTTCATGTCCCTCTATCACAATTCCAGGTGGGATTGATCCCTATCTCAGGAGCCTGATGGCTAATCAGGCCAAGCTGATGACACAGAAGCAAATGGTGGTGGATGAGCTCCGGGATCGGCTGTTTGAGCAGGTGGAAAGAATTGGGTTTGATCTTCCTGCACTTAACATGCAGCGCAGCAGGGATCATGGCCTACCAGGTAAGTTGGCTGTGGAAGCAGAATTTCCAAGGAAAAACTAGTGGAGATCAGGCACTTCTATGTTTGAGCATTGAGAAACATCTCCAGCCCATGCTTGGCTGAGATTAAGCCAACCAAATCCTGGGCTGCATCCAGTGTGGGCAGCAGGTCAAAGGAGGTGATTCTCCCCCTCTGCTCTGCTGAGACCCACCTGGAGTGCTGCACACAGCTCTGGTGTCCCCAACAGCAGAAGGACATGGAACTGTTGGAGCAAGGCCAGAGGAGGCCACAAAGCTGATCAGAGCACTGGAGCATCTTCCCTACAAGGACAGGCTGAGAGAGTTGGGGCTGTTCAGCCTGGAGAAGTGAAGGTTCTGTGGAGACCTCAGAGCAACCTGCTAGGAGCTGAAGGGGCTCCAGGGAAGCTGCAGAGGGACTCTGGGTTAGGAACTGCAGGGACAGGACAAGGGGTAATGGGGAGAAATGAAAAGCGGGAAATTTAGATGATATATTAGGCAGAAGTTTTTCCTGTGAGGGTGGTGAGACACTGGCACAGGTTGCCCAGGGCTGCCTAGCTACATGTGTCTGGAAGAGCAGATTGCAATATATAAGGAAAAGCTCATTGGAATTTCTCTCCAAAGACTGTGTCTCAGAAAAAAAAGGCATGTCAGAACCTCTCTCAGGGCTCTGCAAGGTGCAAAACCAGTGTAATGGCATTGCAGACTGGTCTTGAGAAATAGATTGTTGACAGGACTTTACACCTGTCATTGCTCAACAGTGTTATTAGGCTGATGTAAGCACCCAGAGCTGCTGCGTGCCAGGAGATGCAATAGGGATCACGTTGAACCTGTGATGAGAAGTGAGTTGGATTCACAGGTTTGAAGCTCAGTTGGAAGCTTTGCAATGCATCCAAGTGTGTGATCAGGTCACAGGATTGCTGATGTCTCTCCTATGTCTCTGGCTGAAGGTATCTGTAGTTCCCTGAGCTCCTGCAGTGTTCCTTGGTCACAGGGGAGGTGGCACAGCCACTAGACAATCCCTGGACATTCATCTGAGCCCCCACAGCACAGGTGAGGAGCAGCCACACACACATAGGATGAGATGCCTGATCACAAGTGTCCTTTGCTGGGGTCACTCCTCTGGCTCTGCTGCAGCTTCAGCAGGGTAGGGATCTCCCATAGCTCCTTGGTCCCATCACCAGGGAGTTGTCTGGGACACAGCATGGCTCTGCACAGCCCTGCTGAGTGGAACAAAACATTGCTAGAAGGTGGTGGAGCAACTCCCACCAGCAGAGATCACCTGCAAACATGGCCCTGGAGAACTGGAAAGTCAATGGCACTAATAGAAACATAGAATGCTTTAAATATTTTGGGCTCCTACTTGTGTCCCAACTTAATGAAAGAGGAAAAAACTTTCCAGGAGGGAGTAATACATTCCTGACCTGTCTGCTCTGGTACCCAACTCCTTGCAGGTTATAACTCCTGGAGACAATTCTGTGGGCTCTCCCAGCCTTCTGGAGTGAAGTCACTTGGTCGAGTGCTGAGGAATCAGAAGCTGGCAAGGAAGTTCTTACGACTCTATGGGACACCCAAGAACATTGACATCTGGATTGGGGCCCTTGCAGAGCCCTTTGTGAATGGAGGCAGAGTTGGGCCTCTCATGGCTTGTCTCATTGGCACCCAGTTCAGGAACATTCGGGATGGGGACAGGTGAGATGGAATCTGGGCATTCCAACCCCAAGGGACAGAGGGAGGTTGGAGTTGATGCAGATTTCACGCAGATTTGGAAACTCTTCCAGTAGTTTGTTGCTCCTGCAAGTGTTTCTTTCCCTTTCTGGTGATGTTCTTATTCCCTGTCTGATGGTTGAGATCCTGGACTAAGATCTCTTCCCAGCCAAGTGTTTTCCCTCCCAGCCTTTCCACCACCACTCATTACTTGTGCAGACTGGATTGCCCTTCTCCATGCTGATGTTTCCCATCCAGTGTGTGTGTTTGAGCTCCTTTCCTCCCTCACTTCAGTGGTCTCAAGGTTGCCCAAGGTACTGTGTGTTCAAACAGCAGCTCAATCCTTCATGAAGGGAGACATAGAAATATCTTCACCAGAATAACAGGTACAGCTCTCAAGGTGGGAAAACCAGGATCTACATGGATTGACTTCACCAATTAGAGAAACATCTGTCAGGTGTAATCAGCCCAAGTAGCTGACAGCACTGGCAGCAGTGGCTCCTGGTGGCTCGTAGTTTGGGTAGCTTTGAACCTTTGCCTGCAGACCAAGGGGTGCTGCTGAAGCACTAACACACCTCCAGGGACTCAGGGATATGAAATATTCTCTCCTGATTGAGTCCCAGCTCAGTCCAAACAGCACCCCTGTCCCCTCACAGTGACTGCTCTGTCATCTCCTGAGCTTGCAGGACACAGCTGTGTCCATCACAGTGTCTTCTGCAACTCTCAGAGGGGCTTGGAGGTGATTTCTCACTCCTTCTTTCCCTTTCTTTCCTTTCCACCCCAGTTCTGAGCTGGAACGCTGTGGTGACACATACTAGTGCTTGGTCTTTGCTTGCCCTGAGATGTGGCTGAGTTGGGGTTTCTTGTCAGCCTAAATCACCTCAGCAACATTGACCTTTCAACATACCCGAAGTCCTCCTCCTCCTCCTTCTCCTTGATGTTGCTGAGGGGTTTCAGGAGAAGCAGTTGCTCCATTTGAAGCTGCATTTCTGAAGCAATTACCCTATCCCTGCCAGGAATATTGCCTGGAAAAGGGATCACAACTCATGGCTCTGGGAAACAGTTCTGCCTAGAAAGACTTAGCATGTGCTCAACCTCCAGTATGGGATGTTTAGAGGCAAACAGTCTAGAAATCTAGAAATCATGAAAATTAATCTAGAAATCATGGAAATTAACACTGGTTTTACAAACTTGAGTAATTCTAGGGCTGGTTCCAGCCCGTGCAGCCTTCGCTGTTGGAAAGAAGGTGCCTGTGCCTCATTTGAGGGAACACAAGGCAATGAATTTAATTGCATCTTTATTTTATGTCCATAGCCCCCCAAAAGCAAGTTAAATTCTCCAGCTGGTGAGTAAGGGGATGAAATAACAGCCAGACTACAGAAGAACCATTTGCTTTTGGCAAAATAAATGTGCTGGTGGTGCTAATGGGAAATAATGTTTGCAGGAATTGTGGATGTGAAGGCAAAAATCTGTTGTGTCTTCACCTTTCTCCTGCAGGTTTTGGTGGGAGAACCCTGGGGTTTTCACCCCTCAGCAACGCCATGCACTGGCCAAAGTCTCCTTGTCACGAATCATATGTGACAACACTCACATCACTAAGGTTTCAAGGCACATCTTCAGGGCTAACAGGTACCCCCATGGCTTTGTGAGCTGCAGACACATCCCAAAGTTGGACCTCAGGGCCTGGAAGTCAAGGAGCAACAAGGAGCAAGGTAGGAGCTTCCAACCTCAACCTTCCAACCTTCCTGCCTCAGACACAGGAGATAACCAGACCCTGAGGCTTAACCCAGGGCTGGAGCTGTGTGCCAGGGCCAGCTCTAGCACAGGTTTAGATACTCCATTTAGTCAGGTGCATTGAGTAGCTCCTCCAAAATGCAGATTTTCCAGCATGGGCATTGCTAGACAACCAAGTGTCCTAGTCTGGGATTCCCTTTCACCAGGACAGGCTGAGGGAGCTGGGGCTGTTCAGCCTCCAGAAGAGACACTGAGAGGGACTTCATCAGTGTCTGTCAGTGCCTGCAGGAGGTGTCAGAAGGTGGATCAGACTCTGCTCCATGGGGGACAGCAATGGGACAAAAGGCAATGGACACAATTCTGAGCCATGTGCTTTGGGCTGGCCCTGCTTGAACAGGGAGGTGGGACCAGATGAGCCACTGTGGTCCCTTCCAGCCTGCCTCAGTTGGAATTCTGGGAGTTTTTATGATTGAAGGACTTTCCAATTCAGTTCTTCATCATCAGTTCCTGTGCTTTCCTGCCTGGGAAGCTGATTTTGTGATTGGGAAGGCTGATCTGCCTGTCTAGGTCTGACAGCTCTGAGCTCTCTGCAAGCACATCCTGCTCAGGCCAAAAGCAGCTCTGTATTTGAACAGATTCCCACTCTATGGAAGGGATTGTGGAGTTTGATCTCTGCTTGACTAGTTTTTGCCTATATTTACAGCATTGCCCTCAGATGCCTTCAGGATCTGTAGAATTCAGAGGCCAAAATTCTCTCTGGAATCCCTGGGAAGCAGATGCAGGGGAGAGTGGCTCTCCCTTAGGAAAGACAGGCTGCCCAGTGCCTTTTCCTAACCAAACAGCATCCCTCCTTTCCTCTGACAGTCAGACCCTGCCACAATCCTAATCCCAGTTATTGATCCTTCTTTTCCAGTTTAGCCTATGGAAATCAATCACACAAGGTAACAGGGAATTATGGCAGGTCCTTTTCTCTTCTGTTCATTCTTCCATAACTATTTCTCTTCTGTCCATTGCTTTTTCTCTCCTCTAGAAGAAGATTCTGGTGACTTCCAATGCTGAACACCAAGGATTCCCCAGAATTCTGGATTTGGGAAGCTGCTGAGATGGATTAGTCCTTTTTTTTCCCCTGTGTTTATGCTTTTCCTGCCTGCAGCATTTGGGCTGTTGTCATTTGCTTACTCTGCCTGAAGCCTTTCCAGTGGGATGGAGCCCAGCAATAAAAGACCTTCATCAAGAGATCTCCAGGTGTCCTTTCCCACCTCAGTTCTGGGATTTACAGAGATAAACTAGTTTACTTTCCAGCCAGAGCTCACCTGGCTGGGCTGTGCACTACCCCATGGATGCAAATCCTGGTCCAGCCTGTTGCATTACCCTTCATGAGTCAGAACACCTTTGCTTGTAAAAACCCTTCTGTCATTACAAACATGTCCAGCCATGTCTTAGCTCATAAACAAGGATCCAAAGCTAATCTGTGTCTCGGAAAACTGAGTGGTACATGGATTTAGCATGGAGCAGCAGCCAGGGCATCATAAATACAGTTTATCCTGGATATAATGTTTATTCTGGAATCCCTCAGAAGTTTTTAGTATCAATGTCTATGTCTCTAACTGAGTAGTAACTGGTGAGTTCCCATTAGTGTTTGTCCTTGGAAGACTGTGGCTGATGTGGGCCTTGGTCCTGAGCAGTCCCAACACCCTGCCCTTTGGTAAGTCAGAGAAACATGGAATATTTCCATGGAAAGGTTCCACAAGGATCATCAGTCCAAGTCTTGCCCTGCACAGGACACCCCAACAACCCACCCTGTGCCTGAGAGCATTGGCCAAACACTCCCTGAGCTCTGTCAGGCTTGGGGCTGTGACCACTGCCCTGGGGAGCTGTTCAGTGCCCAAACACCCTCTGGGGGAAGAACCTTTGCCTGATATCCACCCTAACCCTCCTCTGACACAGCTCCAGCCATTCCCCATGTCCTGTCACTGTCCCACAGAGCAGAGCTCAGTGCTGCCCCTGCACTTGTTCCAATCTGTTCCAGTGGGGCTTTTTATGCCAGAAATGTCCAGTGGGAATCACTCCCATTGCAGAATCCAGTCCTCATAGCTTGTCCTGAAGACATTGCTTTGCATTTGGCAGTCAGCTGTGATCTTTAACTTCACCAACTCTTCCCTCTCACCCATTGCTGGGCTGACAGCAATATGTGCTCTTCTGAGCTTCATTTACTCACCGTGAACAGGACAATTTTCCTAGCCTTTTCCCACCAGATTAGGAACTGGAGTGAAAGGACAAGGAGTAATGGGGAGAAACTGAAAGAGGGAAATGGGGTGGTGAGACACTGGCACAGGTTGCCCAGGGATGTTGTGGATGCCCCAAGGAGGCTGTGGATGCCCCAACCCTGGCAGTGTTCATTCCAGGTTGGCTAAAGCCTTGGGCAACCTGCTCTGGTGGGAGGTGTCCCTGCCCAGGGCAGGGGGCTGGCACTGGATGATCTCTAAGCTCCATTCCAACCCCTTAACATACTATGATTCTATGATTAGATCACTTTCCCTGCCTCCTCCTCTCCCCTCTGGCCAATGTGTGCCAGAGCAGAGCTGGGGAATAGGAGATGTATTAAAGGTGCCTGATGAAAGCTCATGGTGTGAAGAAGCCTCTCCTCTCCCTGTCTTGGATTCCCTTCAATTGAGCCAAGTTCTGGGAAGGGTGCAAAGACCCAGGGGCAAAAGGGAGTCAACTGGCCATAGATACACAGTCTGGAAACAGAGAGCTTCGTTAGAGCTGGAGTTTCTGAAAACAACTTGCAGGTTAGGCAAGCGCTGAGTGCTTGGGAAATGGAAGTATGATGGATCCAGGTGCCAGGAAGCCTTGCAAAAGAGGAGAATTACAGCTGAGGATGTTGGAATCTGTGGGTTTGAAGCCTAAATTTTGTATAAGATCTGAGGCGAATTGGGAATGGCATAGTTTTATTATGGCTTCATGTC